TTTTTTTACTAATGTTCCCCCAGGTGATTAAAACGTGAAGCCAAGATTGTCGCCACAGGTCTCCTCCACAGTCAGACTTTTGAGGACTGAATAATGTAGTCGATTGGTCCAGAGGAAGGATTCTTACAGGCGAAGCTGACTTTATACAATGGAGGTATTTCTGAAGGGTCACTATAACTAGAGAACCACCTCATTCCCTAACATTACAATTTCAAAAGGCTTATTCTTTCATTTGAGAATGCTCACTGACACTTCAGCATCTTGTCAAGTAGCCAATGACCTAATAATCTTCACTGAATCCACCAAGAAAGAGATAGAAAAGGAACCTTGCAGTGAATAGTTTTGTGATCATTTTTATAAAGCTTAATGCTGAGCTGAGTATAAAAGGTTATATTCTGTTCATAAGCCACATAAAAAAAAACAGTTTTCTTCTCCATTATCTACCAGAGTTATCATCTGCCTTTCCTTTAAAATTTCAAGTTAGGCTAAGATAGAATTTGGTGTATCAGACATAGGCTGCACAGGAAGATTTAAAAATAATGTTGTAGCTAAAAAAGAATATTGCATAGATATGGAGCAAATAATTTTATATTACATAGCTTTTTAAGTTGAAAATTACCACTTATTTTTTCCCTCAATATCAATATCAAAATATTCTGGGGGAAGGGGGTCAACCTGATGATATGTTCACCTAACTTAGAACAAAAGAAAGATATTCTTAAATTTTACTGGTCCATATCACCTGTTTATGAAATATTCTTTTAGGAAAGATCCTATCTTTACATTCTCTATCTGGGCTTGAAAAGGAAAAGGGAGAAGGGGAAGCAGAAGATCTGGATGTTTTTTAAGGACTACATTTTTGCAAGTTATCGTGATGATAAGCAAATGCTATGCATCATAGTATAAAACGGTTCCCAGAGAGCCCAAAGTGGGATTTTCACAGTGCTCATGGCCCAACTGGCCACATGTATCATAACCGGTATTTTTCTTTTCCTACCAAATCCAAAAGCTCTTCTTTCTTATCTAGTCTGAGAAAATCTTGTGTGCTTGTATCATTCTTTAAGAGAGACAAGAACTCTGTTAGGACATATCTATATTTATAGAAAAGGCAAGTCACAAGTTTCCAGTTCTCTCCTGTATTTTTCTTAAAAGTTTATTCAAAGTCATGTATTTTTAGTTGGAAAAATGTTTACAATTTTTTAAAAAAGTAAAATATTAAACCTTTACCCTGAGCTTTTTGGGTATTTTTATTTTAAAGAAAACTGACACCTACACAAAACAAAATGATGTATCATCACATTTTTAAAAATTATGGTTCACTGTTCCTTCCTCTCTGGCCATTTTAAACATGTGTATTTATAAGTTTGATGAAATGGATACTTTGTATATATTTGCCTTATCAACTCTACATACTTACAAAGATTTATAGGGTCATTTTCCTAAGCAATTATTGACTGAAATTGCTCTCATCATGACCCCTCAATGTCCCTACAACTCTGTGTTCCCCTCTACAAACTAAGTAAATCCTAACAACACATGAGTCTGATATTTTCTGAAAGAGATAATTCTGCAGATTTAGAAAATGTTTTCTCTTCTAGAACTTCCCAATTTCAAAAGACCAAGAAACAGAGACACTGGTTGATAGGCCCTCTCCTATGGGGGAAGATTCTTCATCCCAAAATAAACTCTTCCTGCTCAAGTTAGAGCCTCAGGCTTAAAGTCTCAGAGTCCTGGAACCAGAACAATACAAACATGGGATAAGTGGAATGAGACAGGGGCATTTGTACGTGATGTGATCATTGCTTTGTTAGTGCAGGCTCAGTGACACGCCGGGAATGCACTGAAGTTAGGGGGGATTTTACTCAATATAAAGGAAGATTAGGTGCCATCTACTGGTGAAGAAACTGAAAACTTTTCCATTTTTCCAACAAAACTTTGTATCTTTTCAGACAATGCAGTGTCCTGGTTGTTGGATATACAACTCATCATCCTGTAGTCATGGTAAGTTCACTCTGTAACCCATTCCCCAGCTTAACGTAGAAACTTCCACTTCTAAAAATTAACTCTACAGAACTTCATGTACAAGATGATAAAGATTATGTAAAAGGATGTTTACTGTGGCACTGTTTGTAATTACTAAGAAAATGAACCAAGTGCTGGTTATTGGAATCTAATTAACTATACTACATTAAATATAAATGAAGTGGGGGTAAAACTCCACACATAAACAAAAGAAAAAAATTACCTGCAATTCCATTATCCAAGTATTTGATGTTATTGGTATATTTTCTTCCTTTTGGTATCAATTTCACACTGTTCTGTTCACATATATATTTTAGGTACTGCTTTTCTGTGTCGCATTACAAAAACTCAAGAAATTCTTAGTTTAAAAGACATTCTTTTTCATTCCCCAGCTGCATCTGGAGGTAATTTAAAACAAAACATTTGTAGTTTTACCCGCCCATCTCAACCCCTTCTCTTTGTTAAACTACTTTAAGTTTTGTTTTCATGCTGTCACCAAGGCTAAAACTCCAGCATCTTCCAAAATAGATACCAAAGAAATGATCAGATTTCTTTAATGCTCAACTCAGCACAATAACTTGGCTGATGGAATAAATGCATGCTAAATGGTGGCATGCGCGGCCCCATGATTAAAGGGCTGGTTGAAAACATCACAATTCTTGCAAAACCTGATGAATTAGGAAAATAAGATCCTTTGCTGAAATGAAACCAACTGGGAAGATGGACTTCATCTGATTCAAATCCAAGTAAAGAACAGTATAAGCCACTAGGAAAACTTTTTTAGAAGAGAAGGGCTTGGTAGTCCAGCTGATGTACTTTTCTCTTTAACTGACAGGGAGACTCCTAGTGGATTCGGAAAAGCAAAAACAAGGGGTTTATGCAACTCTGACTGTTGACGGAAAATTTTATTCAAGTGCCTGGCTTGCCTCAGAAAGGAGGAAAGAACGATTGGGGTGACAATGATGACAGGTCAAAGACTTGAGGGTTTAGCTACGTGAGGCCTACTGTATTACACTCAGAGTTATTTTGGGATGGTCACAAGAGTACTTGAACCCTGAACAAAGAACTCCTCCTGGCCTTATCCTATTGCAGATGGGAGTAAAGTGTTTCAAGTGCCCAGAATCTGAAGCAACTGAAAAACCCCAACCAAAACGCTAGTGCATGGAGGCCTTTTCCATTATCTTGGTCTGCCTTTCTCCTAAAAAGTCATAGCATCCCCGTACCCATGATTAGCTCTGCTTTCTCACTGCATTTATGATCGTCAGCTTAAAAGAATATTTGATACGACTGATGAAACACGGAGTGGGCATCTGATATAGTTGGTGACAGCTACTGTAAAAAAAAAATCTTCATAACTCTAGTTACACTTGGTTTTAGCCAACTTTCTCCTCATAGCACTGCCCTGGGTACTGGTTGGAGTTGAATTTAGAAACGGAAGAATAGCAATACCAAGAAGACAGGGCCAAAGTCAGTGTCCCTTGCAGATAAGCAATTCAGGACTATTGAAGCCATCAAGCCTTTCCTATGACAGAGACAGAAGAATAAGCTTTAAATAATACAGACAAAAACGCTTTTTAGAAAAGAATAAACAACTCACACTATGGTTACTTGGATAATATTAACTTCTTTCCAAGTTCGACATTACTCAGTATCCACTCTGGAAAACATCTCTGCGACAAGTTAAGACATCGATCCCAAGCCCTGTCTTAGATCAGTGCCAGCTAGCTGAAGTCTTTCACCCCTTCCTTCCATTAGCCTGAACTTGACAAAGATGCTAAATTAAGTAAGGACCTTTCATCTCAGCTACAGACTTCCAGGACAGTTATAAATATAGGCTCAACTGCCTTACTCCTGGGGTTAGGTTTTAACTTCTGAGATACAAAGTGTTAATGATGTCAGTGGATACCTGGCCAAAATCCTGTAGTACTCTGTTTGCTGGTAATGTATTATTATCCACACTAGTAACTACTTAGCCAAACGTGAGTTTCTCCCAGCCACTTCACTTTCTTTCCTCATCCCGTTAAGATTTAATTATAATGCTCAAGTTCTGTTTTATCAAAAGGCGTACAATAAGAAAACTATTCTCAACTCTCATGTCAAGTGGGCTAACGTAATACACTCCTGGTTACTATTCATCAAGTGCAACAATTCTGTGTGGTAGGTGGTATTCTTATCCTTGTTTTACAGATGAAAAAACTCTGGAATAAAAGTTTCCGTGTCTTGCCCAAGGTTGCACAGCTAGTAAGTGGTAGAGAGGAGATCTGACTTTAGGTTGTCAGGCTCCAAGCCCATATTCTGACTCTTGGAGAAAACATAAGCTAACTCACACACTTGGTCTCTCATTTTCTCCACCCCATTTGACCATGTTTGAGCACAGTCAGATGTGCTCATATGTTCTAGCACAATCCAGTGATGTGTTTGTTCCCAATTTGATTCCCCAATAATTCACGTTCACACATGGTGCTTAAAAATTTAAGCAATACCATTTTTCTCCAAAGACTTTAAATTACTTTATAGCCATAGATAGAATTCACTCCTCAACTGTATAAATTCTGTCACACTAGTAACATCCAGTATCAATAGAGAAGAAAAGATACTTTAAAGATGGCTGGGTCACCCCTTTCTCCTTTCCATTCTGGCTAACCCACCTGTTGCTATTTCTTTCATGTGCCTTTCCACTCCTAATTTGGTTCATCTCTCACATTTGACTCCGGCACATTCTTTTCTGCAGGTTGCCAAACATGCTTGTGATGGGACCAAAAAAAAAAGTCATGTAAGAGTATCCACAACTTTCCTTTGCTCCCTTTCCTGCCAAGGAGAATCCTCTTTCTTCCCACAGACTTAAAGAGGAAGAATTCTTGCTTGGTGGAAGAAAAGCTGTCAATTCAAAAGATTAGAAACGTGTGGCTCAGAGAGATTGTTTTCCCCAAAGTTTATTCTACTGTTAAGCTATAGCACCAAGATTCTAAATCTAAATCCTGCAGGAATTACACCTTATTAATGCTTGTGTCATGACGCTAAGTACATACTGGGTACTTGGTCAAAATGTGTTGTATGAATGAAATAGATAGGAAGGAAAAGAGAAAAAGAGAGAATGAAAGAAAAGAAATAGACAAGTGGTGTATATTTTGAACATGTTTGAGCTCATGGAAGGCAGAGGTAAAATCAGGTGAAAAAATTTTTTTAATTAGGTGAAATTATTTTCATAGTTATTTTTGTACTTCCTGTAACTAGGACCCTTTGGGTGATATCTGAACATGACCTAGGTTTGTACTTAATTCTCTGTTAGAGTTGGTTGTGTAATAGTGAGGTGCTGAATTAAATGGTCCTTGGATATCACTGAGTAAGCAATTCTCTTCCCCTGTTTTCATTCCTCATGTATTTTGTCAACAAGCAGGTTTGGATGCCTGCTCTTTACTAGTGACTGTGCAGGGCGGAAAAATGGGTAGGGATGCCAGCCTGGCTGAGGGTGTCATAGTATAGAACCAAATAGCTACAGTACAGGATGGTAGGTGCTCTGGTGGAGAAATGTACCCAATGCTGTGGACAGTAGACAGTGGTTTCATCTTCTATGGAAAAAGAGAAGAGGATGGTCGGGGAAATTTTTCCAGAGGAAACTGAAGGGTGTGAAGGACATTCTTCACAGAGAAAACAGCCGAGACGAGGGCATGGGGGCATGTACATCACGCCACGTTCAGGGACTAGCAAGAGGCTGGTGGTGCAAGAGTGCAGGGCGGGACCCTGCACAGCGCCTGGAATGGAAACTAACAAGGGGGCCGGGCCAGACTCAGAGGGGCCTTATCCACCCTGCTAGGGACTTGGGCTGCTGCTTCTAGTTCAAACCAGGCTCATAGAGTTTTCCTAAGTACACAATATCTGGGTGTTCCGTGCTTTCTGATCTCCATCTGAGTGAATCTGCTCCAGATGCCTCTGCCAGCCAAGACCTTGGGCTTTCTGGCAAGACATCCTAGAAGACTCTGTATTTTGGTAAGACTTCAACTGCCAGCCACAAGCTCGATGAGCAGCCTGGGGACGATGAGGATATTCCGGGGACATGTGTGTATGTAAACCGTTGTGGGGACAGATATAATAAACTTTCATCCCACACACCAGAAAACATTATTTTATTGTCAAATAAGAGCCCCTGTTAAGTAATTTTGTTTCTTGGATTTACTTGCAATATGATATATGTATTTAAGCTCTTACATAATTAACCAACTTGACAGCTAAAGAACAATAAAAACCAAAGAGGCAAATAATTCCCTGTTAAAATACCAACTACTAAACTTAAAAAAGTTTTGACCTTTTGATTTTAATCATTGTGTAAATAATTTTTACGTAAGTAATACAAAGCACTCATGTCCCATTCTACTTTTGCACTTGCAGTGTCCCATACAGAGTTCTCCATTTATCTATTCATTCACTCATTCATTTTATAAGTCACTGAGTAGTAGTAGTCATCATTTGATATGCATATCTCATCTCACCCTCAGAGCAGATCTGAGTTAGATACTATTGTTATCTCCATCTCAAGATGAAGGAACTAGAGCTCAAAGATGTTAAGTGACATGCCTATTAAAGTCACACTGCCAGCAAGCCACAGAGCCGGAACGCAAACACAGACCCAGCAAATACTTAGTTCTGGCCTTTACTATTCTACTGTAATAGACTTAGTACATTATGGTTTATTTATTAACTCCCTAATTTGGGGCCATGTGGGTTTTTTTTTTTCAGGCTTCATTCACTTTATTTTTTGCATATAAAACTATGTGGTGGCCACAGCTGGAGCCTGGGTCCTCTGCACAGAAACTCTGGTGTGGGTCTTTACAAGATGGTCAGTGAATTCCTGATACGGAGACTTGGTGAACACAGTCTCCTTCCAAAGATCAGGGGTGAGATAGCTGTAGGTCTTGGAGATGG